AACCTCACCAAGCATCACTTGCAACCGCTGTTCAAACCACTTACCGTGTACCTCCACGTTTCCATTCGGTTCCTCAGCCATCCCAACCGCATCTACAATAATCGATCCGCTACTGTCCATCGCATCCTGGGAATCTCTGGGCGCATCTGCGCTCGCAGCATCGTCCTTCAGCCACTTGGGCCTCGTGCGTGGCTGGGTCCGATTACCCCAATACGCGCGAAGCAACGCGAGATAGTATTCAGTCACTCCCAGCCGAAGCGGCGCCATCGCGCGCAGGGATGACGCATCGCACGCACTGCTGAAACACTTCCGCCGCTCCCCTGGCATGTAGCATGGGGGCCCCGTCGCATCCATTGCAATGGACTTCAGAGGGGGCTGAAGGGTCGGAGGCGGGCTGCACCTGGCAATGCCCGATTGTCGTCGAAATGAGCAATCGCCAAGTGGAAGTTCGCCGCCTGTCGCAGCGCCTCGGGGCTCGCATTCGAACGTCGCAGGCGTCCCGTCGTAGCCGTCGTCGCACGACCTATGTTCACGCAAAGTCGTCGCGGCGCAGCTCGCAAATTTTTTGGGGCGCCAAGGGCGCGCCCCCTCCCCCCGTCGTCGACCGAGCGCGCCTCCGCCTCCTGTCACCCGTCCTGGACGACACATGCCTCGGGCGGGCTCTGGTATATCCTTCTGATGAGCTTACTCGTGTATATATGAGTCCAGCGGGGGAGCAAGACTCCTCGGCCTCCACCATCTGTCCGCGCACGCGCGTGGCCGTCCTGGCGCGGAAGCGGGTGCCCCTTCGCCGCCCCCAGTGACGACGTTGCAAGCCTCCAGCGCTTGCTCAGAATACCTCCGGAGATGGGGCGTCGGACCCCCGCTCGCCGCGCCGACGGACTCCGCGGGGGCCCCTGCAGATCCCGCGAACCGCGTCGCAGCAATCGAAGGGGCCTCGAAGATAAAGAGCCAGCCCGGAGACATCTTATATTTCGCAATCTGGGCGCATCCCAAGACTCGCCGCTACGCGCCCCGATGTTCCCGAATATGTCGCTCCAGGTCATTGCGCTTCTCGTCGGGGGCCCAGTTCTGGAAGGCCAGTAGCTTCGCGCAAGGGGGGGTGGGGAGCGAATGCGGGGGTCGGGCGCAGGGCCCTGGCAATGGTGACTCTACGGGCCACGCGTGGGCGATGCGTCCTCGATCGCCGCGCTCGGCGGGGGAAACGCTCGAAGCCCCCCCGCCTGCGGCCCCGCGCGAGACTCGAGTGCGAACGACGCGAGGAGGCGGGTGGCCGGGGGGGGGGGGGGCGGCGAAGGCAACGCGCGCTGGGGGCGCACGAAGAGAAGATTGGAACGATCGAAGGCGGCGAGGTGAGTGTCAAAATCTGACCGGCCAATATGACGCGCGGAACACTGGCCCTCAATTTTGGGCATCTTGAAGGCCCGGGCCAAACGTGAATTCACATTGCGAGGGCAAGCGACATGTGAATTCACATTGCTGGAGAATTGAAAACGTGAGTTCGCGCCGCGGAAAGAAAAGAGAACGCGACCTCGCATTTTGGAATTGCACGCAGATTTCTCTATGAAGGGGCAAGAATTGATGGGAAAAAAGGAAGATGTGAATTCACTATTGTGGGGGCATGGTTGGGCGCGCTCCAAGTCTGTCTCAGGAGTCGACCAGACATCGCTTGGGAACGCGCGCGATCATCAATCGCGCGCTCAAGACGCACGCGCAATCCACTTCGCCGCGCCACGCGCGATATGCAAGAGCGCCCACGCGCACGAGCGAGAATGGGCGGGCGGCGCGTTCGCCCACGCGGGCAACGCGCGGGACGAGCAACTGGCCCTTGTATGACAGCCAACATTGGATATCAATCGTACCCGATCGCGTGAATTAACCATATATCGAGCACGCACGGGCCATTCAGCCCCCATTGCAGACCCCCTGTTGCGGGCCCCTGTTTTCGCCCGAGGGGGGCACGATGACGCATTGCGACTCCTGTCTCGATTCGGCCCCGCGGCTCCCACGCGCCCTCTGACGCGCGAGCGCCCCAGCCTGCGACCTTGTCGAACGACCCGAGGCCCTCCGCTCCGCGCCGCGGCGCCGGCGGGCGCGCCCCCGGAGGCGATGGGAACTCCGTCGGCCGAAGACCCGGCTGTAGTCTGAGACCTTAGGGCGCCGGGCCGACCCCGCTGAAAAGCCGGCCCAATTTCCTCGACCCTCAGCCTCGCGTCGCCCACTGTCGCGCCCCGGCCCCGTTTCTTCTCGAGCTCGCGGCCGAGCGCGTCCGCCTCGCAGTGGCCGCCCCCTTCTGCCGCCCGAACTCGAACCGACGCGCGAGCTGTTCGAACCGTGGAAGACTGTCGCTCGTGCTGAGTTTGGCCTGGGCCATCTTCATCGCCTGTTTGCTGATCAGGGGCCCGGCCTTGCCGCCAATCGCGCGGGCGAAAAAACCCACCCGTTTCTTGACCCGCGGGGCGGGCCCCTGAGCACGTCGGATCTCCCCGCCGTAGCTCTTGAATCGAATGGTCGGGGCCGGCCCCCCCCGCCCCGCCTTCGCGCCCGTCTCCTTCTCGCGCCCCCCGAACGTCTCGGAGCCGATCGAGGCCGCGCCGCAGCCTGAGCCGAGAGCGCCGCGACCTTCAGCGTGGCGCGCCCGCGCTTCGGCATTGTCGCTGTCTCCATCTGCCTCGTCGATCTCGCCCGCGTCGACGCCCCGCCCGACTCACGCCGCTCGTGGGCCAGTCGACGGAATCGCGCCTCATTCGTCAGCCCCACGATCAGGTTAGACTTTTCCGGAGCACGATGCCAGCAGCGCGCCCGCCTCAGACCGCGCATCCTCGTCGTCGATCGTCGGGTGAGTCACAATTATCTGCGCGGCCGCCTCCTGCCTCGCCGTCTTCTGACCCTGCTGGCGCGCCTTGGACATAATCTTGGGCGCATATGGCAACCCTCCTTCTTTGTGCCACCGCCCTTCCCGTGCTTCGGGCATTCCCGACTGCAGTGGCCGATGCTCTTGCGCAGGAACGCCGCGCCTTGTCCTTCAGTCTCTGGAAATTGACTGAATCACGTTTGGGCAAGCCTCGCTGTAGCTTCTCTCTGGCCAGCGCTGTTCTCGTCTCTTCCCACGTAGTTGGAACGTCGATCGCGTCTTCCTCGTCCATGGGCTCTAATTCCTCCAGCAGCTCGTTCGACCTCGTCATCGATCACCGGCCCTGCCTCTGCTGCTAGCGCCACGACCGATCTAATAAACTGTTCAGCCCAGGCGGTAGCCTCATGCACCTAGGACGCTGGCATCTGCTTCGAGCAAGCCGCCCGACTGGCCGCCGACATTCCATCCAAGCCCAGCTGTCTCTGACAGGCGGCTGGCACTACAGCTCGTATCTCAATGCCAAGCCTTGCCCCTTTCAAGAGCAGGAACCCTTGTGCCGCGGTCGGGAGCTCCACTTCGTCTTTCGTCGCCTTCGCGAAGATCGCTATCGCTCGCTTCTTGCGTGCGCCGGCGACGTCTCACCGTGCTCTTTGGCGAATCCTAACACGCTCTTTGGCGCATCGCCGATTCTTTCGCTGGCCTCCTGATCCGGGAACCGTTCCTCCAACGCCTGGAAATTGAATTCGGCTCCTAAGTCCGTCTCGAACTCCGTGGGCCCCAGGTGTTCGCAGGCCTTCTCCGCTTCGTCGCCGAGCAATGTCAGCACCAATGGACCAAGGGCTTCCAAGGGGAGTCCTCGCCTCGCCTCAACTGCCAGCTTGGCGCCGATCCACCGCCGCCAGATGTTGTGTTCCGATGCTGCGTCGTTCAGCTTGCCGGACAGCCTCCGCCACTGTCCAGCTCCTGGTCCGCCCTGAGATCCACAGGCTGCCATGTCTCCGCTGGAAGGATGCGATTTGGGTCAGGACCAATGCGAATCCCAAACTCGTTGGAGCACCTCCTCCGGCTCGAAAATCTGACCGATTTTATCTCTGACGCTACTACTTTACTCGCGCGACCCCCGGGCGCGAGCCTCTCCCCGATAGGCTTGCCAATATTGGTCTGGGCCGGAGCGGGAGCAGCGGGCGAGAGAGAAGGGCCGAAAAGGTGGGCATGTACAAGCGCAAACACTATGCAGTAGGCGATACCTTGCACGCACACTGCAACTCACACCTCCCTCCTCCTCCTCGTCCTCCTCCGCCTCCTCCTCCTCCTCCTCCTCGTCCTCCTCCTCCTCCTCCTCCTCCTCCTCCTCCTCCCCCTCCTCCTCCCCCTCCTCCTCCCCCTCCTCCCCCTCCTCCCCCTCCTTCTCCTCCCCCCCCTCCTTCTCCACCTGGATCAAACTTCCCAATAATTACCACCTCCATGTCGCACCCCCAGACGTGTCGATGGGGCGGACCAGGCGTTTCGCCCGAGACTTCCTCACCACTTATGATCAGGGGCTTTGCTCTCTGCAACGAGTTCAAAAAATTGGAGGGCAGGTCTTTTTCAAGGTGAGGATCTGACCTTAGCGCCGCGTGCATTCGTCTCATCAGTGTGATACAGCTTCACAGATGCAGGGCGGGCGGTTTTCAACATGCTGTTCTCCCTTCACCTTTGCGCACTTTCGCTTTAAAGCTTCAGCAGTTTCGAGGATAGACGGTGGGCGGTTTTCAAAGTGTGGTTCTTTCCTTGAGCGTCGCGTGCATTGGGGTTGAAAGTCTGCACCAACTTCAAAGATGGAGGGCGGGTGGTTTTCAAAGCGTGGTTCTAGCCGAAACACCGCGTCCATTCGAAATGCAGGCTTGCAGCAGTTGAAGTCCCAGAGGTTGTGTTCTGGCACGGTTCAAGATTGCATGGGCGCAACAGGCACGTTATTTTGCGGCGTTGGCGTCCCAGGAAAGGACGCGTTTCTTGCAACATCGCTGGTGCGTGTTAGGTTTGCACTGGTCTTTCCCTTTCTCCGCTTCCCCCGCGTCCTCCTCCGCCCACCCCCCGTTCCACCCCCTCCTCTCCCTCCCCCCTCCCTCCCCCCCCTCCCTCCCCCCCCGTCGCGAGAGGGGGAGGCCTTGAACGTCAGGAAATCATCCACGCTGAGCAGCTGCTCCACCAGCACCCGATGCAGCTGCTGGTCCCCGCCCAGGCCCGCCGAGCAGAAACTGGAGGCGGGGCCCCGCTCGTTCCGTCGGCCCTCTCCGCGGCGCCCGCCCCTCCAAGACATCCGACCAGATATGCGTTTTGTGACTGGCGTTTTGTCCTTTGTTTTGCGGGCTCCACAAATATACGCCGCCACATGGCAGCAACAGAAAGTAGAACATCACGCGCGCCACTGCCCCGACTGGGGCCGCCACTGCGTGCCTGCGCCAAACGCAATTACTTGTCACGTGGCCATGCGCGCTGATGGCGGCCGCATTTGCTCGAGAACAGCTGCTGCCAACCACTCCATTGCCACAAAGGGGTGGTGTATAAAAACCACGGCCCCCCAATAATCTTATACACCAACCCGAAATGTACACCGAGCTGAAAAGTACGTGTTTTTGCGCAGAAAACAGCGCGCCCAAATGACGCTGCGCAGAAAACGTGTTATCATCGCGTGTGTGGACACACTTTGCCACACACTTCCGAAACAAGAGCGGATTGGGTATGGGACACAAGCCACCCCCGCGAGAAGGGATCAGCATCGACCCAAGGAACGGGCAAACACAACCTTCGGAACCTGGAGGGACGACCAAAAACAACCTGGATACTCGACCCCGGAATGCGGAGGCACGGCCCACGGAAACGAGACGGGACGACCCAAGGAAACCAGTGACTGCCCCAACCAGAACCCCAGAAGCGCTCCCAGGGAACGGTCGACGTCGCGGGGCGTCGTCCTCAACGTCGTCGGCCGTCGTTGTCGTCGTCGTTGTCGGCGTCGTCGTCGTCGTCGTCGGTCTCGACGTCGGTCTCGACGTCGTCGGCGGTCCTCGGCCCCTCGGTGACCCCTCGGCGGCCTTCAGACGCGCAGATCAACGGCGCGGAAAATGACGACGGCAAACGACGACGATGACGACGACCAGGACCCCTCCGAACCTCCGTCGACACTGCTCCATCGACGTCACCTTCTTCCCCGTCGTGGTGGGGCATCTGTCCGACCAGACGTTCCCAGAACATCACGGGGCATCGAAGAGCACCTACAAGCTTCCCCATCCTTCTTCCAATTGGCCCACCTGGACCGAAACGCGTACCCCTCAACCCCATTTCCAACACTGAACTTCCAACCGCCGCAAGAACCCAAAACTTCAGGAATTACCCCCCAGAAAAAACCCAACACGAATCGTCAGGAACCCACGGAACTCCTGGAATCCGTCAGGTCTGTTCGAACTCTTGCGAACCATCGACCGTCGATCCTGCCCGTCACATGGCAGGACCTATGAGAAGAACTGTTACACCAAAGAGAAACCCCAATCAATGGATGGTTTGATGAGATCGATCATGAAATCGATAATGGATCGTGGGATCGATCAAGAGATCGATAAAGAGATCGACCGGAACCCGGGAGCCCGGGAACCCAGCCCACCGAAATCGGCACGGAACCATTAACGGGGAAACCGGGAACCCGGAACGGGGAACGGGGGAACCCAGCATGCTACCAAAATCGGCGGGGAACTTTCGCCAAATCTTTCAACAGGGAGCCCGGGAACCTGGAACCCAAGAGCCCCGCCTTGCTACCGAAATCGGCGGGAAACTTTCGCCAAATCTTTCAACTCCCGCTAGGACCCTTTCAGTGCAAGCACGGATTGGGGAAACATTCGCCGCGCGGTACCGCAGGCGGCGGAAAATACCACCATACGGTGTTCGCCACGTGCCTACGCAGTGGGGCGCAACCGAACTGCAATACATTCTGCCCGTCATCTGGCACAATTTGGACGCGAACCTATTATCATCGAATTGAGGGTTCAGGCGCAGCCTGAGGCGCTATGTTGGCGTTGATGGATTCTGATGGCCTCGCAAACGTCTCTTTTCGATGGCCTGTTCTTCGGCCCGCGGTGGAATCGACGAAACGCGGATCGCCAGTTTTTCGGGCATCGAGGCGCCGAACAAAGTTGATCACGCTGTGCGCGGGCCCCGTCGGGGCGAGGACTTTTCGGCATCGTTCGTTGATGGCCTGATTGTATCGCCCTGAATCCACCAGAGTTCGGGTCAAATCTGCGATCTTCTAGCGAAGAAGCTTCCGCCGACTGCCGCAGTGCCCAGAAACTCCCACAAGGCAATGTGGATGTAGGTTGGCGACCGAAGAGTCGAGTCAACAATGTTCCCCGTAGGTAGGGGAAGGCAGGGGAGCCGTGGGCGGGCGGCGCTGTACCTGATGCCTGTACCAGAGCCGAGAAGTCGGCGGTAAATAATAATAGAATGGTGATGCGAACGGACTTCGCACGCGCGCGCACCCCGCCCCGAATCCCGCCCGCTCCACGCGGGCCTCGGCCCTGCGGGAAACGAAAACGGGGTTCGGGAACAGAGGTATGAGGTCCACGCAGTGCCGCAACCTGTCCACCGCTCTTCCACGAGGCCGTCTCGGATGGGAAAGGGGGCGAACGGGGGCCAGCCCCGCCGCGCAAGGTGCCCAGGGGAGTCCACCCGCCTTTCGCGGGCCCAAGGTGCGCCCCCCAGAACGCTTCGGCGCTCCCGGGCGACTACCCGCCACCGCGCGCGACGAGGCTGGGGGGGGGCAAGGGAAAGTAGAACATGTGGAAAACAATTCCGCGCCAATGGCACGGGCGCGGATTTTGTTTCCGCCAGCGCGCAGAGATTCGAGCGCAAAGCGACTGCGATACAAAACTATTGCGATCAACGTTGCATCAAAAACTGAGCATGCAACAGGCACATCACTCACTGGGCTTGCCAAACCCGAAGTCAAATTTGCATTCAGATCGAAGTTGGCACGGCACGTGATCGAAGAGGTTGTAAATGATCAAGCTGCCGCGGCAACTGATCGAATAAGTAATGGTAAAACGGATTGCGCGAAGCACTCCAGCCCTCGAAAAAGTGCGATGGTCTTCAAAGCATCGCAATTACGCGATAACGCTGGCAGAATAAGAGTCAAAGGAATCATGCTTTGCATATGTCGCACTGTGTTTCCGACATCCCATGGGAAGAAAGTGGGATATATGGTGCGAAAATATTTGCGACGGGCGACCTGCCTGGGTGCGCTCATGCCCTCGAAGTCGCCAAAATGTCACTCGCGCGTGGCGGGCGACCTGCCAGGGGCGGTTATGTCCATAATGCCAAGGGATAGGCAACGGTATTCTGTCATATGAAAACCGAAAGAGATTTGGCACGACTACCAATCGATACGTAACGATATCATATCATTAACAAAACAGTCAAGGAAACATCTGTTGGTCACAATATGCGGTTTGCTACGATAATCAAATTGTCCAATAGTGCGAGTAGCAATATTATCAGGCCAAATGATATCTCAATCGTTCTCATCGACCTAGATACAGTTGTTCAGATAGTACGACCAGTAGCGGCATGTGTTGTCGCTGTAGTGCTCGGGGGTGCAGCGCCACCGCGCCACTGCGAGCGCCCTGCGGGTGCCGCTCCGAGTGCGCTTGCCGGCCATGCGCTGGGAGCCTCGTGGCGGGCGCGGCGGCGCAATCTGCCTCCGCGCCCCCGCCGAAATCGGCGCGGCATCTGTTGCGGCCCCGCCGCTCCAGTCCGCGTCGCCGGGGGCAGGGTCGCCAGGAGACGCCGCGCCTGAGGAGGAGGAGGCATCGCCCATGGCAGGCCCATCGCGGCGCGGCAGTGGAGGAGAGGGCGACGGGGCAGAGTGGGGGCTGGTGGCCAGAACGATCCCCTGGCCGAAGGCTTGACCCTCGCAGTGGTCGTAGCAGCGCGATGCTTCGCTCTGAGCTGCGCCGAAGCCACGCGGTCCTGACCCGTCTCGCCGATCTGGAGAGCGCTCGCACACATCTCGCAGATGTGCTCGTCGAGTTTGGCAAAGAAGCCGGCGCGAGCTATTGCGTCCGTTTGAATTTCGATTGCTCCTGCCGGGGCCAGTGTCCCAATCCGCTCGCGGGTGCTTCCACCGGCGCTCAACTCATGACCAAGATACCAAGATCGCGGATGGCCTGATCAGGGATCGATCGCGCGAGCGCAGTCGGCGGCCGCATCGGCGGAAAGAGAGTCGCGCCCCTTATCGCTCATTTATTTGATCGGGGGGATCGCCCACCGCCATGTCTCCGCGAGATATGCGTGCTGAGACAGTGCCAGGATGCTCGGCCATGACCTGCTCGGTCTGCTCCACGAAGTGCGAAGGAGCCCTCTCGTCACCCTGCACGATATCATCGCTATCAGTGCGGAGTACGTCGACGACCGCCGACCCCAGAGGCGCGTGCGATGAAGAGGCGCGCGACAACCACCTTCTACAATCATCGCTGCTGACCAAAAATGTGACATCGATGCTGCCCAAACATTTGTGGCCCTCTCCTCCACGCCCCGGCATTCCGACCCGAAACTTACCGACGCCCTCCACCGCGCTCCCACCACGCCCCGTCACCCCCACCCCACGGGAGCTCAGTCCTTGGGACTCCACACGACATTTTTTTTTGCCCGAAGCTGCTCGACACCCTCCGCCGCGCCCACCCCGCGCTCCCACCAATCCCGGCACCCGCACCCCACGAGAGTTCAGTCCTTGGGACCCTCCAGAATTCCTGCCCCGACACCACCCGACACTCCCCACCGCGCTCCCACCACCACCCCACCACGTCCTGACACATGAACTCAGTTCTTGGACACCCCACACGACAATTCCTGGCCTGCCCCGATACTTACCGACACCCCCCACAGCGCCTCCACCACGCCCCCACCACGTCGCACCCCCACCCCAAGAGAGCTCAATTCTTGACCCCCCCCACACGACCATGTCCCGGCACTTCCACCCCACGAGAGCTCCGTTCTTGAGACCCCCCACGCGACAATTTCTGGTCCGAACCTTACCGACACCCCCCACCGCGCCCCCACCACGCCTCCACCACGTCCCGGCACCCCCACCCCACGAGAGCTTCGTTCTTGGACACCCCACACGACACTTTCTGGCCCGACACTTACCGACAACCTCTACCGCGCCCCCACCACGTCCCGGCACCCCCACCCCACCCCACGCGAGCTCAGTTTTTCGGACTCCCCACGCGACAATTCCTGTCCCGACGCTTACCGACACCCCCCACCGCGCACCCACCACGCCCCCACCACGTCCACGCACTCCCCACTCCACGAGAGCTCCGTTCTTGGGACCGCCCACGCGACAATCTCTCACCCGAACGCAACCGCCCTCCGAGGAGCTCTCTCCCGAAAGGGACCCTCCGCGAAGGCGAGCTCGCCCTGCTCGTCGCCAGGAGCTCTCAGCGTGCGCGTGCGCGCTGGCCGCAGCGGCTCTCCCACGAAGACGGGCATCTCGACTGATTGCAATCGGGGTTCGCCGAAGGCGGCGCGGGCGGCGGCGCAAGCGGCGGCGCAGGCGGCGGCGCGACCCTTGCTGCGGCGGCGGTCGCCACCCCGAACGCGCGGAGCGGCGCGCCAAGGTCGGGCTGGGCGGAGGGGGCGCCGCGCAGCAGGCGCCGCAATGGAGCCGACGACGTTGCCCCCCACTCAACCTTGGCCTCCCTCCGCCGCGTCGGACCCGGCGGCGCCTCCACCATCTCGCCTGCGCGCCCGTCGGCGCCGACGCGGCCTGCGGCGCCCCCTGCTCGCTGGGCACCGCGGGGCGCGCGAGCGAAACCTGCCGTACCCGCCGCAGCAGCGGGGGCCTCGATCGCAGCCAGTTCGGCTTCGACCTCCGCGCCGCGGCCGTCGCCGGCTGCCGCCACGGCACGAGCGCCGCCCCCGCTCGCCCGGGCGCCGTCGGTGGCCTCGGCCGGCGCCCCCTGCGCCCCGTGCGCCTGCGCGAGCGCCTGCACGTCGGCGCGCGACAGCGCAACAGCGAGCGCGGCTCCAGGCCGCGTCGGCTCGCTGCCGCGGTGGCTCCCCAACGCAGCGCGGCACTGAAGCTGCGTGCAATACAGTGGGGGCTCGACCACAAAAAACCTTCCACAAGAAACCCAACCCTGAGACCCCAGGACGTCCATGGATTTTCGGCGTGGGAACGTCGCGCTCCTCATCGCAAAACCATCGAAACCTAAGAGACTCAGGGCACCCTGGAGGCAAGCAGGGTGTTTCTTGGCATGGGTCTCCACTGTAGCGCGGCCCTCCGCACGACGGCACTGCGCCTCGCGTTTGGCCGCTGCACGGTCGGGCCGCGCGCGCTGGGGCGTTGCGCCGGCGAGTGCTGGCCCATGCGTGCGCGCGGGCTGGGGGACGGCGGCGCGGGAGGGTCCGAGGGGCCTGTGCCGAGCTGGCAGGAGGAGGAGTACGAGGAGGAGGAGGAGGAAGAGGAGGAGGAGGAGGAATAGGAAGAGGAGGAGGAGGAAGAGAAGGAGGAAGAGGAGGGGGACGATGAGGAGGAAGAGGAGGGGGACGATGAGGAGAAGGAGGAGGACGAGGAGGAGGGGGAGGGGGAGGTCGGAACCACTCTCGAAACGACCAAAACAACTTCGATACTCTGGTCCTCTTCTCGGGTCCTCCGCGTTCGCCGCCTGCCCCCTTAATCCTCCTCCCTTTCCCGTTCGGCGCGGGGGCGGCCGGCCTCTCAAACTCTTCCGGCATCACTGAGACCTCGGGGGCCCTCCGGCAGAGTCCCACCAGAAAAGCGCAAAGGGGGTGGATCCGCCTCGTCGTCGCCCTCCTCCTCCCCCCCCTCCTCCTCCTGCGCCTCTGCCTCCTCCTTTTTGACGCTTGACTCTGTGGGTGATTCTCGTCCTCCTCCTCATCCCCCCTCCCCTACTACTAATAATACTGCTACTACTGCTACTACTACTGCTACTACTACTACTACTACTACTACTACTACTACTACTACTACTACTCCTACTACTACTACTACTACTACTACTACTACTACTACTACTACTACTACTACTACTACTACTACTACTACTACTACTACTACTACTACTACTACTACTACTACTACTACTACTACTACTACTACTACTACTACTACTACTACTACTACTACTACTACTACTACTACTACTACTACTACTATGCCATGCTTGACTCGCTCGAGCTGGCTAGCTTGACTACTCCCTACTACTACTACTACTACTACTACTACTACTACTACTACTACTACTACTACTACTACTACTACTACTATACTACTACTACTACTACTACTACTACTACTACTACGACTACGACTACAAATACTACTACTACTACTACTACGACGACTACGACGACTACGACGACGACGACGACGACGACGACGACGACGACGACGACGACGACGACGACGACGACGACTACTACTACTACTACTACTACGACTACGACTACTACTACTACTACTACTACTACTACTACCACTACTACTACTGCGGCGACTACTACTACTACTACTAATACTACTACTATTTTTTTTCCTTCACAGTCGACACGAGGTCAGTCCCTCGTCTGTTCCGGCCTGGTCCCGCAAGTTCGAGCCAGGCCAACCAATACTCGCTCCGTCGTGAGCGGGCGGCGCTCCGCGTGGGCGCCCTGTGCACGGCCTCGTCGCCGTGAGCGCCACGCTCACTCGATCGCCGGAGCAGGGGCCGGGGGCCGCCTAGGAGCCCCCCCTGCGGCCCTGCCAAGCGCGTGCATCTGCGCGAAGAACCCAAACGGCCCGCCCGCGAGCGGAGCCTGCCCGGAGGAGACGTCCCCTCCCACATCGGCCGCCGGGGGCTCGGGATCCGAAGCAGCAGCCCTGCCCTTCTTTCCTCTCTTCCCCTTGCCGTCCCCCTTCTTGCCCTTCTTGCCCTTGCCCCCCTTGCTGCTCGCCCCCGCGTCCTCGTCCTCTGCGGCACCCTCGCCGCCCTGCGGCCCGGTGCCCTGGGACCCCTCGCTCTTCCTGGGGCGCCTTCCGCGGCCGCCAGGACTCCCCTTGCCCCTGGGCGACTCCCCCTCCCCCTTTTCGGCCCAACCCTGCGTCTCTCCCAGCGCCACCCCCTCCGCGTCGCCGCAGTTGCCGTCGTCGCTGTCCAGATCGTCCGTAGTCCTCACCGGCGAGCCCGGCCGGTCCCCCTGATCGCTCTCGAGGCTCGACAAGCCGCTCGGCGTCATCTGCAGGCCTCCGGACGCGGTCGCCGACACCATGTCTGTGGTGGCCTCGACGGACTTCGAATCCTTGGACGCTGCGGGCACCCTGGCCACCAAGCTCTCGAGCCACCCCGCCAGCGAGCCCCGGACCACGACATGCATGGCTCCCTTCGTGTTCGACGTGAGCACTGCCGCGGGGACGCCTCCCTTCTCTGCCCACACGGCCACCGTCGTGCACTTCTCGGAGCCTGCGAGGCGGTACTCCAAAGCACCAAGGCAGGCAGACGAGGGCAGCTGCACGACGGTGCCCTTGCCGTCGTACTTCTTGCAGTACGGGGGGTGGCGCGACACCACGCCCGCATTGTAAGCCCTGAAGCGGAAGGCCTCCACGGGGAGCCCGGTCAGCCCTCCCGTCTTCCTGGCCTCGCCCGCGGACCTGCCGGCAGGGGGGTCCGAGTACTGGAGGCCGTAGAGAGCGGCCAGATGCTCCTTCGACGGGGGCTTCGACATCTTCCGCATCGCCTCGTGGAATGCGAACAGGGCGGCGTGCGCGGCGCGCGCCGCCAGGGACAGGCCCTCCACGCCCGCATCTGTGGCAACGGCGCCGTGAAGCACAATGCGACCCTTCTTAGCATCGCCGAACCGGAACTGCTCGCGGGCATGCTCGTCGTCCGAGTCGCCCTGGCCGAGGAGCGGATCCCACGTCGTGCTGCCCACGGACGGCAACTCCAGCTTCGCCAGGCAGGTCTCGGCTGCCGTGGCCGACTCGGGCGTGTTCAGGCTCCTCCGGACCAGGCTGTAGACCCCCTTCGCAGCATTCGTCGCATGCGGCTCCCGGGCGAGCTCCGCCAACTCCAAGAAGGTGGCCAAGGACATGGACTTGCTCGCACAATTCCGCCCCCCCCACTGCAAGGTCACTCCTGTCGAGGTGATCTTCTCGGCATGCAGCACCGCCACCCTCATCCTCAGGTCCGGGTCGATCGTGTGCTCGTCTCCGTAGCCGTTGGAGTTGAGCGTGGCGATGACGTGGGGGCCGGCACTCACGGGCCCGCCGCGGTATGTCGTTCCGAGCTGCGCCGGCTCCGCGCTCCTCGCCTTCTGCTTCGGGGCCATGTCCGTCGCCACCGCCTGCTCGTTCGTGCCCTTCTTCTTCAGCGTGCCGGACTCAGCCCCGGTGGCCGGTGTCCCGCGAGGCTCCGGTGCCGCTTCGGCCTTCGCCTTGCCCTTTCCCTTGCCCTTGGGGACCGGCTCCGGGGCAGCTGCGGCCGCGGCGGCAGTCGGCTGCTCCTCCTCCCTGGCACCCCGGGCCTTCGCGGCCTTGGCTTGCGCGAACATGGCGTCCAAGCTCAAGGGCACGCCATCCCCGGCTGCCGCCCCGGGCCCCCCTGCTGCGCTCGCCCTCTCCGCCGCCTTCGCACGGGCAGCCAGGGCCCTCGCCACACGGTTCTCTGCCGCGGGGTTCCTGCTCGGCTTCGGCTCCTCGGGGGCCTCTGCGTCGCTCTCGGAGGCGTCCGAGCCGTCCTCGTCGTCCTCCTCGGCCTGCTTGTCCTTCACCACTGCGGCGGCCGCGGTCTGCCGAACCTGCACTGTGCCCCGGGTCTGGTCCGCCAGGCGCTTCTGCATGCTCCTCGACGCAGCGTCCTTCTTCGGGGCCGTCTTCGTGAGCGCCGCAGCGAGCTCCGCCTTCGAGGTGGCGCTCGACATGGCCTCCTTGCTCTCCACCGTGCACCCGACGAGCTCCATCGCAGCGGTCGCCACCGAGGAGGGGACTCGAGGCAGAGCCACGCGCTCCTCCCACGCCAGCACGTGCCTCGGCCGGAACGCCTGGTTCTGCAGCACGGAGGACGGCATGATGCCATTCGCAGTCGTGATCCACAGCGTCATGTGCGGGGGTGCCTCGGAAGGGTGGTACGCCAGCTCCACGCACAGCCCGTTGGCGCCCAGGCTCTCGATCGCAGCCCTCGCCGGCTCGAACCCGACGACTGTGCTCGCGGAGAAGGCGATGCAGATCGCCCATCCCTCGAAGATGCCCGAATCGGTCAAGCCAGTCGCCACCTCCGTGGCGCGTTGGAAGGCATGCTCCAGCCCCCGCTTCACGAAGGCGGGGTTGATCCAGACCAAGGAACGACGACGGGACAACGCTGCCTTCTCCACGGCCTTGACCACCTCGATCGCCTTCATTCCGCCCACTTGCCCCGCCGCGAAGACCGCCAGCACCTCCAGGTCGGGCACAGACACGTCGGGCGCCAGCGACGTGCTCATCTTGCCGGCCACGAGCAGGAGGAAGTCCGGATCCGGCTTGTCGCTCGGGTTGCCGCAGAACGACCTCAGCAACTCGATCCAGAGCTGCTTGTTGGCGGCGGCCGCCTCGAGCATGGCCCGAGTGTCGCCAGGCGCCACCCATCCGGCGAAGGTGGAGGGCTCCGGGAGCACCTCGGCCAGCTGCTACTACTACTACTACTACTACTACTACTACTACTACTACGACTACGACTACGACTACTACTACTACTACTACTACTACTACTGCTACTACTACTACTACTACTACTACTGCTACTACTGCTGCTGCTGCAGCGACGACTACTCGTACTACTACGACGACTGACTACTTACTACTACTACTACTACTACCACTACTACTACTACTACTACTACTACTACTACTACTACTACTACTACTACTACTACTACTACTCCTACTCCTACTCCTACTCCCACTCCCACTCCTACTCCTACTCCTACTACTACTACTACTACTACTACTACAGATAGTATCCTGTTTACTGCTACTACTACGACTACTCTACTACTACTACTACTACTACTACTACTACTACTACTACTACTTCTACTACTTCTACTACTTCTACTACAACTAATACTACTACTACTACTACTACTACTACTGCTACTGCTACTGCTACTGCTACTACTACTACTACAACGACTACGGCTACTACTACTACTACTACTACTACTACTACTACGACTACTACTACTTCTACTACTACTACTACTACTACGACTGCTACCACTAATGCTACTACTACTACTACTGCTACTACTACTACTACTACTACTACTACTACTACTACTACTACTACTACTACTACTACTACTACTACTACTACTACTACTACAACTACACTACTACTACTACTACTACTACTACTACTACTACTACTACTACGACTGCTACTACTACGATTGCTAATGCTAGCACTAGTACTACTACTACTACTGCTGCTACTACTACTACCACGACTACCGCTACCACTACTACTACCACTACTACTACTACTACTACTACTACTACTACTACGACGACTACTACTACTACAATTACTACTACTACTACGACGACGACTGCAACTATTATTCGTATTCATACTACTATTGAGACTACTACTACGACGACGACTGCGACGACTACTACTACTACTACTGCTGATGCTGATGCCACTGCTACTATGACTACGACTACTACGACTACTACGACTACTACTACTACTACTACTACTACTACTATTATTACTACTACTACTACTACTATTACTACTCCTACTCCTACTCCTACTCCTACTCCTACTACTACTACTACTACCACCACTACTACTACTACTTCTATTACGACTACGACTACGACGACGACGACTACTACTACGACTACTACGACTACTACTACTTCTACTACGATTGCGATTGTGACTAATGATAGTGGCACGTGATGCATTTGCATGCTTATCATTATTGCTACTATTCACCCCCATATGTTCCTTTCATTAATATTGTTACTATTGTCACTATTATTATGAGTTGTATGTTATCCCCTTCCTGTTCATGTTCCTGATCCTGTTCCTCCTCCTCCTCCTCATCATCATCATCGTTGTCATTCCGTCTCCTGCACCTTCCTCCTTCCTCTTGCATCTCCCCTTGATCCCCTGCACTTGCCTTCCTCTCCTCCGTCCTTGTTCTTCCTCGTCCTCCCCCTCCCTCCTCCTCCATCACCCTCTTCACTTCTCCTACTGAGCCCCAATCCTTCGCACCCCTCTCTCATCCGTTCTCTGCGCGCTCCCGCGCGCGGCCGTTCCTCCTCCTCCTCCTCCTCCTCCTCCTCCTCCAAGGAGGAGGAGGAGGAGGAGGAGGAGGAGGAGGAGAGAACGGGCCAAGAAGAGGGCGGAGAAAGAGGAGATGAGGCCGAGGAGGAGGACAAGAGGAGAAGTGGCGGCGGAAAGAGAGGGAAGAGGAGAGATGACGGAGGATTTCCCACTGGCAAGCTGCAAGCTCCAAATATACTCTGGCGACCTTCGGCAACAAAAACGCAACCGTCAGCACCCGTTGGCCCGACCTCCACCAGGTGGGCCACGAACAGGTCCTGGATGAGCTGTTTGAACTGCTCGTGGCACTGCAAGTGCGACAACTGATTCTCTTCGCCTTCCTCGCGCCGCCAGAAGGGAGGTGTGGTCAAATGAAAGGATGGCGGTGTGATCCGCCGGACCCCCTGTGGGGCCACCAGGCTGTAGGACGAGATTGCTGCTCCCTGTGCCAGTTGCAGTTTCAAGTCTCCAATGTTACAGTCTACTCCCTGTGCCAGTTGCAGTTTCAAGTCTCCAATGTTACAATCCTGTGTTCTGTTTCCCAGTGTAAATTGTTGAAGTCCGCGCGAGGGGGGGGAGCCTCAAGTCAACAATTTACCACGCTCTGATCGCGTTGCCTGAATTCCCGGGGGGGGCGTGGGACATGAACAGAAAAATTGAGATTCGCGCACCCGCGGCCATAATACATCGCAAATTGCACCAGAGTCGCGTCCCCGAGGCCATTAACGCTTGCAAATTACACAATTCTTGCGCTTCCGAGGCAACACACCTTCGTAAAGTATATAATATTCACGTCCCCGAGGCCATGAACCTTTTCAAATTACGCCATATTCGCGCTGCCGAGGCCAAGAGTGCTCCAAGGCGTCCGAAGATGGTTCCAAGACGGCCCAAGAGGGCCCCAAGAGGCCCCAAGAGCGCCCCAAGAGGCCTCCCGAGAGAGCCCCAAGAGGCCAACATCGTTGATGTTACGACGATGTTTGAAGGATGTGGGCCTTCTCGCATGTTCGGCTTTCCGACGCTCCAAGACGGCTCAAGAAGCTTCCAAGACCGTCCCAAGGCAGCCCAAGAGGCCTCCAAGAGGGCTCCAAGACGGCCCAACAGGGCTCCAAGATTGCCCAAAAGCGCTCAAGACGGCCCCAAGAGGGGCCCAAGCAGGGGACTACGAACAGAAACTTTTATATTTGTGCTCCGACAAGCCCCCACGAGGCCCCCAGAGGCCGCCACTAGGCTACACGAGGCCCCAAGAGGCGCCCAAGAGGCCTCCAAGATGCCCAAAAGATACCCCACGAGGCCCCCACGAGGCTCCCCACGACACCCCAACACAAAGACAAGAGGCCTCAGACCCACAACCCAGGCACGGTGGCGGGATGGGCCGAAGGCCACTAGGATCCGCCGCCCCCTTCTGCTTTAGCAAAGGGGTGTCTGGCGTGCTGGATCCTATCGGTTTTGGTTTGGGTTCTTTTTCCAAAAGAACTCTCCCAATGGGTTTCGGCCCGTCCCGCCGGGGTCCCGGGATTTTTTCCACGGACCTCACTTCCCCAATTTTCTGCCCAAGACGGCTCCAAGATGGCCTCCAAGATGGCCAAGATGGCCTCCAAGATGATCCAAGATGGCCTCCAAGTCCACCCAAGATGGTCCAAAACGGCCTCCAAGACGGCCCAAGAGAGTCCAAGAGGGCCCCAGACGGGCCAAGAGGCTCCCCAGAGGCCTCCCAGACGGCCCAAGAGGCCTCCAAGAGATCCTCCAGGAGGGCCCGAAGATGCCAAAATCATTGATTTTCCTTAGGATTTTGAAGGATTTTGGAATGTGGTTCTTCTCGGCATTCCGACGGCTCAAGAGGCCCCCAAGATCGCCAAGGAGGCCCCCAAGAGAGCCCCATGACGGCCCAAGTGGCCTCCAAGATGGCCCCAAGAGGGCCCCAAGACGGCCCAAGAGGCCTCCAACACGCCCAAGATGGCCTCCAAGACGCCCAAGATGGCCTCCAAGACGGCCCCGAAGCGCCCCAAGAGGGCCCCCCGTTGGCCCAGAAAGGCCCCCAAGACGGCTCCCGACGGCGTCAGACGTGCCAGGAACCCACCAAGATGGCCGAAGTTGGCTCGAAGCTGGCCCAAAAGGGCCCAAGAGGCCCTCAAGAGGGCCTCCAGGAAGGCCAGGTTTCTCCTTAGGTTTTTGACGGATTTTCAGATTTCCTTTTCTTCGGCCTTCCGACGGCCCGAGACGGCCCAAGAGCCCCCAAAGATCGCCGAAAGATCGCCCAAGAGGCCTCCAAGGCTGCCAAGATGACCTTCAAGACGCCCACGTGTTCCCCGAAGGCTTTCCAAACCGATTCGGGGAACACATGGTCCGATGGCTTGGCAGGTCTGGCCTCAACGTTCGGCCACATACGACGGCCAAGATGACCTCCAAGACGGCCCCAAATGGCTTCCAAATCCGCCCAAGATGGTCCAAAACGGCCTCCAAGACGGCCTCAGAGAGTCCAAGACGGCCCAAGACGGCCCAAGAGGCCCCCCCAGAGGCCTCCCAGACGGCCCAAGAGGCCTCCAAGAGGTCCTCCAGGAGGGCCCGAAGAGGCCAAAATCATTGATTTTCCTTAGGATTTTGAAGGATTTTGGAATGTGCTTCTTCTCGGCGTTCCGACGGCTCAAGACGGCCCAAGAGGCCCCC